CCCCTGGCCCTTGCAGCAGACACCCCCTTCCCGCCCCCAGCTTGTTTACCGGCTGGTTTCCCTTTCCGAAGGGAGGGGAAGGGGCGAGTCCTGGCAGCAGCGCCCTGACCCGGCCCAGGGCCCATGGCCGAGCACAGGGACAGGGCCCCGTGCGGCCCCAAGGTGGCAGCCCCTGCGGCCTGGGTGCAGCTGGGGAAACTGAGGCACGGGGAACGGCCAGGACAGACAGACAGACACCAGCCCCGGGCATCCAGGGGCCCCAGGCTGTGCCAGGGGGTGCAGGTAGCCCAGCCCCAGGGGTCTGTGGGGCTGGGGGCTGCAGCAGGTGGGCACAGCCCAGGGTCGGGACAGGCCACGGGGTCCGTCCGGGGCCACGTGCGGCCACTGCTGCTCCCGGCGAGACTCACCTGGCGCCCGAGGCCACCGGCACGTGACAGCGCCGGCCGGGCGCAAACTGCCGCTCCGCGCTATAGCCGAGCTTGGAGACGGTAAACAAGGAGGAGGGAACGCGGCCAAGCGCCTGCCCGGCTCCCAGCACCCACAGGCAGCGCCAGGGCCACGGCGAGGGTGCCTGGGGACACTGGGACACCCTGCGTCCCCCGGCTTGGGTGGGTCCCTAACCCCAGGGGGCTTCCTATGGCACTAGGGTCTCGTCTCTGCAAGCCCCATTCCCCCCACCCTGGGCATCCCTGTGCCCGGGGAGCATCCCTGTGTCCGCAAGCAGTCCTGCATCCCTGCACTCGTGGCCGTCCCCGCAGCCGTGGCTGTCGCTGCCCCCGGGGCCGTGCACCACGCGCTGCAGCTGCGTGTGCAGGATTGTTTCCTGAATTAAGGAGAGCGGCTGAGTCACGGCTGATTGCCGGGCCTGGGAACGTGCTGCAGAGGAATGTGGCTCCGAGCGGGGCGGCAGTGCCCAAGTGCGTGGGTTGGGCACTGGCGAGGCCAAGGTCGTTGATGGTGGCTGGATGCCGGGTTGGATGGTGCTTCCAGAGCCCCTGGTCCTGCACATCCACTCGGAGCAGCTGAGGACTGCTGGTGTCCCCCCGTTCCACTGTCTTGGGGCACGCTGGTATCCCCCCATGTCCCCAGCAGCCCAGCCCTGCTGTCCCTCCCAGTGCAGGGGTGTCACAGCAGAGTGTACGCACGGGTGTCCCCAGTGCAACAGGGATCCCCAGGAGCCCAGCACTGCTCAGGTCACATCACACTATGCCAATTGCCCCAGGCCTTGGGCACTCCAGGGGACATCCCTGGAACTGTGCAGTGCCCTCCCAGTGCCAGGGAACCCCCCGACCCATGCAATGCCTTCCTGGGTGCTGGGGAACCCCCAAAGGCTGCAGTGGTGTCCCTGATGCCTGGCACATGCACAGTACAGCACCCGTGCACCTCTGGGGTGCATGCAAAGCCCTCCCGGGTGACCATGATGTTGGTCAAGGTGCAACACCCGTGCACCCCCAGTACCGGGCACAGTGCAGCGCAAGTGCACCCCTAGACCTGTGCAAAGCCTTTCCTGGTGCTCCCTGTGCTGGGCATGGTGCAGCCCCAGTACTGGTCACAGTGCAGCATGGGTGCACCCCTGGAGCCATGCAGAGCCTTTCTGGGCACTCCGGGTGTCAGGCACAGTGCAGCCTCCGGTACTGGGTACAGTGCAATGCGAGTGCACCCCTGCACCCGTGCAGAGCCTTTCTGGGCACTCTGGGTGCCGGGCACAGCGCAGCCTGGGTACCGGGCACGATGCAGCATGGGTGCACCCCTGCACCCGCGCAAAGCCTTCCAGGGCTTTCCCAGCGCTGGGCACGGTGCAGCCCCGGTACGGGGCACGGTGCACCGCCTGCGCCCCCCTGCACCCGTGCAGAGCCCTCCCGTGCACCCCCGGTGGCGGGCGTGGGGCACCGGCGGGGCTGCCGGTGCCGGGCCGGGCGCCGGGGCCGCCGGCGGAAAGTGTGTC